AGTGGGTGGGTGGGTGGATGGACATAGAGATGGATGGATGGATGAATGGATGAGTGGGTGGGTGGATGGACATAGAGATGGATGGATGAGTGGGTGGGTGGGTGGATGGACATAGAGATGGATGGGTGGGTGGGTGGATGGGTGATGGACAGAGATGGGTGGACATAGAGATGGCTGGATGAGTGGGTGGGTGAATGGATGGATGGACAGAGATGGATGGATGGATGACTGGGTGGGTGATGGACATAGAGATGGATGGATGAATGGATTGGTGGGTGGATGGACATAGAGATAGATAGGTAAGTAGGTATGTAGGTAGGCAGACAGACAGATAGAGGCAGGCAGGCATAGAGATAGATAGCAATAGCACTTAGACTTATATACCGCTTCACAGTGCTTTCCAGCCCTCTCTAAGCGGTTTACAGAGTCAGCTTCTTGCACCCCCAACAATCTGGCTCCTCATTTGACCCACCTCGGAAGGACGAAAACCTTGAGCCAGTCAGGATTGAACTACCAAACCGCTAGCAACCGATACTGCATTCTAACCACTGCGCCACCACAGCTCATATCCTCCCCCTAAGCCTCTGAAATGGAGGGGACGGCTTACCTTGGTGAGATGTGCGTTGTACCAGTCTTTGAGCAGCTTGTTGCCAAAACCGATGCCGAGCACTGGTGGAGTAAAACGTAGAAGGCGAAACAAGTGAGAATTAAACACTCCCACTGCTTCCTATCAATAGGTTCTAGATCAAAGTGGCTTTAAATTAATCCGGGCAGGAAGAATCGCATACAACACTGGACAATCAAAAGTGGAGACACACACATACACACCAAAACGTGCAAAACTGTAATTTCCCCATCCTAGAAAAATTCTGGATAAACCCCACATGGGAGAAGCTAAACTAACAATCCAACGAAGCTGAATAAACCCTTCCTAACAGGTTAACGGAAAAAAATTTCTAAAAGCCAAATGAATTGCAGGAGAATATTGTTCCTCTGATGATAGAGTGGTGCGGTGGCCTAGTGGAGGAGCTCTCACTGTGAGTTCAATCCTAGGTAGAGGCAGGTATTTCTCTCTCTGTATATTCACAATGGGAATACATCTGCCGGACAAAACTCTACATTGGCAACAGGAAGAGCATCCGGCCAATAAACACTCTTGATAGCTCATTTCAGTTGCCCACTCTACCCCGCAAGGGATTTGGGGATGGTTAAATGATGATGATTGTTTTTCTGCTGATATCCCAGTTAAAAGCTGGCTAGTAAGTTTTTTTTTTAAGTAATTTTTTATTTTTTATTTTCAAAACAAACATGACACATAAAATCTTCTTTCTTTACATACTGTAGAAAGTGTTTCAGTTGGTT